ATAATCATACGAAGAAGAAGTAGAAGAGGAGGAGGAGGAGGAGGACAGGGAAGAGGGGGAGGAGGAGCTGGAGGAGGGGCAGGAGTGAGGGGTGTGCCGAATCACGCGGCGGGTGAGCCGTGCGGACCCTGCCGCAGGTGCCTTCGGTAAAGAGCTCCCTTAGGGGCCACGGCACGCGGGAGGGGTGCCGCATCGGATGTGCCGAATCGGGCGCTACGCCATGCGGACCTTGCTGCTGGGGCCTTTGGTGGAGCTCGTTCCGGGGCCGCGAAAGGTGTGAGGGGTGTGCCGAATCGGGCGCTGGTACGCCATGCGGACCCAGCTGCTGGGACCATCGGTGGAGCTCCCCCTGGGACCGCGAAACGTGTGAGGGGTGAGCAAACTTGGGCGCTAGTACGCCATGCGGACCCTGCGCTGGGGCCTTCGGTGGAGCTCCCCTCGGGGCCACGAAACGTGTGAGGGGTATGCTGAACTGGGCGCGGGTACGCTATGCGGACCCTGCCGCTGGGGCCTTGGAGCTCCGTTCCGGGCCACGCAACGTGTGAGGGCTGTGCCGAATCGGGCGCGGGTACGCCATGCGGACCCTGCCGTTGGTGCCTTCGGTAGAGCTCCCTTCGGGGCCACGACATGTGTGAGGGGTTTGCCGAACCATGCGCGGGTACGCCATGCGGACCCTGCCGTTGGTGCCTTCGTTGGAGCTCCCTTCGGGGCCACGAAATGTGTGAGGGGTGTGCCGAACCAGGCGCGGGTACGCCATGTGGACCCTGCCGTTGGTGCCTTCGGTGGAGCTCCCTTCGGGGCCACGAAACGTGTGAGGGGTGTGCTGAACCGGGCGCGGGTACACCAGGAGGAGAGAGGAGAAATGAGGAGGACCAGTGGGGTTAGGAGGAGGAGGAGGAGGAGGAGGAGGAGGAGGCGGCGGAGAACGGTGAGCAGAAAGGCCAGAGGCCGTTTGAGTGCCTCTCGGAGTTTCTTCGGATGTCCTCTTGGGAGCTTCTGGTAGGCCTCTTGGGACCTCCTGGGGGGCATCGTGGCGGTCCCAGGGGCACCTTGGGACCTCTGGGCTGCCTCGGGGGAGCTTCTCTTCGGGCCTCTTGGAGAGGCATCTTGGGCGCCTCCTGGGCGCCTCTTGGGGTACTCTTTGGAGCCTCAGGGTCCACATCGGGGCCGTTTGGGAGGAGATCGATCAAAGAGCTCGCCGGGAGCTCGCGTGCGCAACAAAAAAAACATCGATCACAGGAAGGGCCATAGTAAATTAGGGTTCCCCTCCAGAGGCCATCATGTAGTTTAAAACTTTATAGCATGAGTGATGTGTGCCTTCTAGCCGATGCCGTCTTGGACGCTCTAACCAGCCCCTCGCCGCCCCCCTCCTCCAGACTTGAAAAGCCCTCCCCGAAGGAGCAGAGGGGGGGGTGGAAGAAGAAGTGCTCTAAACCGCTCACCCCCAGAGGGTTTGAGGGGTTGGCGCCCTCCCAGGGGACCAACATGCGGCCAAAACCTCATCGGTGATTCTGCCCATCTCGCCGAGGCCTCTTGGGACGTCTTGGGTGCCTCTCGGGGGCCTCTTGGGGCCTCTTGGGGGCCTCTTGGGGGCCTCTTGGGGGCCGCTCGGGGACCTCTCGAAGCCTCCTGGGCACCTCTTTGGGCCGTCTTGGGGCATCCTTGGGAGCCTCGGGGGCCACCTTGGAGGAGATCGATCCAGGGAGGGGCCGTAGCGAATCAGCCAGGCCAAGCTGCGGCTGAGACTTTTAGTGAAATCGATGGTTTGGGCTTCCTCGTCGAGGCCAGCTTGGACGCTCCACCTGCTCGCGGGCCCCCCCGTCCAGGTCCAGGGGTGGGGTAGGAGGAGGGTAAGCCCTTCCCCGAAGGGGCAAAAGGACGGTTGGAAGAGGAGACTCCCTAAACCAGTCACGCCCTACAGGCTTGGTGGGACTTGGGACGGAGAGCTGGTCCTGGGGGACAGCCCCGGGGTCCACTGTTGTTTCCCTCAGGACCCGGTTGCCCAATGCCAGAGGTCACGATGCCGAGTTTTGTTCGCGATGTTTGGTTCTTCGTCAAGCCCCCTTCACATGCACCAGTCGTTTGGGGGAGAAGAGGAACTCGGTGGTACACTCCCGGGGGGCTATCCGGACGCACCTCTGTCGAGGATGGGCCAGTCCTATCGTACTTCCCCGGGTTAGGGAAATCCTTGTCGGGGGTCGGATCAATCGGAGTCGTCATACCTCCCATTGCTTCCCTCGTTTTCGCCTTGCTGCGCCTCCTGGGGGGCTCGTGTCGCCACGGCCAGAACCGCCTCAGGACCCTGGCCGGGGCGCGCCCTGGGGAGAAATCCGCGGAGCAGCGGTGTCGGCATCTCTTGTTCCTCCGATTCTCGCCCTCCTTGTTGGAAACACCAGTGGGAAGTTGTGTGCTGCCAAGCCAGAGGGCCCGGTGCTTGGCCTGGCCGCTCGCAGGAATCCGCAGGCAGGAGACGAGCCGTGCCCAAGGTGGCCTCGGCAGTCGAGGACAGAGGCGGATCGGGGGGCCTTCGGCTTCAGACGACCGAGCGGAAGGTCGGCCTGAAGGAAAGAGGTCTTGCAGGGAAGGGGTCCTGGATGTGTTTGTGCTTTCTGACCGGCGCACGGGGGTCCTGCAGGGAAGGGGTCCTCGGTCCTCGCTGCACCTCCCCCCTCACCCATCTCCTCCTCCTCCTCCTCCTCCTCCTCCTCCTCCTCCTCCTCCTCCTCCTCCGCCGCCTCAGTCCCCGCTGGCGGGGCTGGCCGCGCCAGCGCACCAAGGAAACCGATCCGTCCCCCCTGAGTGGCCCTCGCCTTGCACACACACACCCCTGCGGCCGCCCGCTCTGTCCCGTTCTCCCGCTCCTGCGTGCTGACCAGGTTTGCTACAACGGTGCCCCCGTTTAGTTAGATCCTTCCGCCAGCGCAGACGACCCCTGTCCAGCCGCTGACGCAAAACGTGTTTGTGCTTTCTGCTTCCGTGGGCCCTTCCTGGGCCCTGCGGCCGTCACACCTCAATCCAGTATGAGAAGCCCGCCCGCCTGGGGGGGAGCCTCGTGGGCCAGTAGCCGCTTGTCATGCTAAGGCAGCGGGCGGGGGGGGGGGCAGCTGTTGGGGCAACGGCGACACGGGTATCGTAAGAGTTGAAAGTGAGGTCCCTTGGGGACGCTGACCTTCAGGAGGGAAAGAAGCACACAGACACAATTAATCGGCGATCCCAAGGAAAATATGGGAAAATATGGGAAGTAGGGGGGAAGACAAAAACTCAGAAAATATGGGAAAATATGGGGCATATGTTTGTTTGTGTGTATTTATTTGTGTGTGTCCCAGGGTCCCTTCACTCGAGTGCAGGAGCCCCCCGGCGGGCAGAGTCCCACCCATTGTTGGTGTGATTTTTGTGCAGGGCGACGCAGGTCGACGACGACGCCTAAAAGTCAGGAGGGAAAAAACACACAGGCACAATTAATCGTCGATTTCCCAGAAAAGATGGGAACATATGGGAAGTGGGGGGAAGACAGAAACCCAGAAAATATGGGAAAATATGCGGAATCCTTTTATTTGTGTGTATTTATTTGTGTGTCCTAGGGCCCCTTCATTCGAGGGGACAGGATGCTCGGGAGGGGACAGTTCCACTGATTGCAAGCGATGTGTTGCACAACGGCGACGACGACTAGGCATGGGGAGAACGACCAGGGAAAATCATAGTGCACGGCAGTTTCAGAGGAACGTGGAAACAACATTTGGATTGATATCTGACGGCCTTTGGCCCATCCCACCACTGGGCCTGGGAGATGAATGATGCCTATTTGATATTCGTTGGGATCTCGTGGGCCTCTCGGGGGCCTCTTGGATGCAGTTTTGAAAGGGGTTTCTCTTGGGACCTCTGGGGGGCCTCTCGGGGCCTCTTGGGGGGCCTCTAGGGGGCCTCTTGGGCGCCTTGCTTCCTGGAGCTCTCTTGGGGCGGAAGGCTTGGATTCTCGGTTCGTGTCACCTCTTTTGGGCCCCTTTTGAGGCCGTCTTGCGGCTCTTTTGAGCCGTCTTGGGCGCCTCCGGGGCCGTTTTGGGGCGCTGTTAGGCCGTTTTGGGGCCCTTTGGGAGGCCTCTTGGGCCGTCTTCGGGTGGTCTTGGGTGCCTCTTGGGCCGTGTTGCGTCGCCGGACAGCCGAGCAGGCGAGCGCGCCGACATCATCCGGGAGGCTTCCTGGAGACCTCTTGTGGCGTCTTGGAGGCCTCCTGAGCCGTTCTGAGGCCATCTTTGACGAACCAACAACACACACCCATACCCATAGGGGGGTCGGAAAGGGCTATGGGTGCGTGTTGTCGGATGGGGGTCCCCGCTGGAATGGGAGCGTTCCCTAGGGTCCGACAACTCGCACCCATACCCATAGCCAGTCCTCCTCCCAACGACCCCCTTATGGGTATGGGTGTGTGTTGTTCGTTCGTCAATCTTGGGCGTCTTGGAGCCATCCTCGGGCGACTTGGGGCCCTCTTGGAGCCACTTTGGGGGGCCTCTTTGGAGCCAGCTGGCGGGGCTCGTCGTTTGGGGGCCCCCCTGGGCGGGGCCGGCCGACGCGAGGGACTCCGGCGGTGCCTCGAGATGCCCGAGCCGCGGCCCAGGTCCGGGCCCCTACAGACTTACAATTCTGGCTGCGTGGCCATCCATCGACTTCGATGCTCGTTTCGGGGACCTTCCTGGAGCCCACCTAACAGATCCGTTCGGCCCCAGTTCGACTCAAGTTCGACTCAAGTTCGACCCAAGTTCGACTCAGGTTCGACTCAGGTTCGACTCAGGGTCGACACAAATCGACTGACGTTCGACGCAGCTTCGACGCACGAGTGGAGCGAGTGGCTCCAGGAAGGTCCCCACAACGAGCATCCAACATCGACCGCCTCAGGTCAGCCTGGCGCATTTCACTTTGCCCCCGAGCCAGTTGCCGCCCCCGTCGCTGCCAGCCCGAGAAGCAGGCGGCGCCCATCGCGGGGGGCGGCCTTCGGAGAAGCCCGCTCGGGCCCCCGCCCCGGTCCCCAGCCCCTGCCCCGCTGACTGAGGGCGCCTGCCAGAGGGTTTGGGCCTCTGCGCACGGGGCCCCGCTGGCGTCGGCACGCGAGGCGGCGCGACAGGCGAGAAACATCCGCGCCTGCGAAAAAGACTCCACAGGCACGCGTTGGGGCAGCGAGGGAGGGATGCGCCCGAGTGCGGCCGCGATCACAGCAGTGGCAGTGATGGCGGGGCCCGCATTGTCACCGGGTGCTCGCGGGTGTAGTCTCTTGTCCGGGCTGCATGCACGGTGCAAGAGGAGCCTCGATCGTGGTTTGTCGCATCTACTCGACCCTCGATTTCGATCCGGTTCTCTCCTCGAGCTGCGATGTTCTTCGATCTTTGGACTCGACCCGCTCCTCGCTTTTCGACCCGTGGATCTTCGATCCCGCTCCATCCTCGAGCTCTCTCCGGCCCCGCCGCCCAGCGGCGCCGCGCCTCCCCCAAGGCTCTGAGAGGCTCGCCGGCCAGCCGACCTTCTCTCCAGCTGCGCTGCCGCGCGATTCCGCCACCGTGCTCGGGCGGGCGGGCGAGGGGTGGGGGCGCCTGGGGTCGAAGAAGAGAGCACGCCATATATTACCAGCCTGGAACATATCCCTATCCCTATGCTGGGCACCTCCTCATCACGATGCCGATCCTGGGCGAATCCCTAAGATTGTCATCGCCTTTTGGCGTGTCAATCTTAGGGATAGGGGTACGTTCAAGGCTGGTAAATAGACACAAACTTTGGGCGCTCCGAGCGGATTTCTTGGATCGGCGCCCAGGCCCCCAGGCCCCCTCTGGCGGCGCCCCTGGCGGCGCCCCTGGCGCGTTCCGCGCGCCAGGGGGGGGGGTCCAGCGCGGATCTAAGACATCCGCGCGGAGCGCCAAAAGTTTGTGTTTATGGCGTCTTGTTTAGTTTGTTTCTTATTATTCTTGTTCTTCTTCTTCTTCTTCTTCTTCTTCTTCTTCTTCTTCTTCTTTTTGTTTGGGGGGGGAGGCGGAGGGTCCATGGAACCCCCTTTCCTCAAGCCTTCTGCCCGGAAGGCAAACCTCGCGGAGGGAGTTGGCCACTCACGTTGACGCTTTGTGGTCGTCTCGATGCGTCATGGGGGCCCTCCTCCTCCTCCTCCTCCTCCTCCTCCCTCTCCTCCTCCTCCTCCTCCTCCTCCTCCTCCTCCTCCTCCTCCTCCTCCTCACCCTCACCCTCACCCTCCCTCACCCCCACTCTCACCCTCACCCTCACCCTCCCCATCCCCCTCCCCCTCCCCCTCCCCCTCCTCGTTTTTGACGTTGCTTTCCGCTTCACAACAGGCGAAAGGGCCCGACGCAGCCCAGCCGCTGCCAGAGCGGTGGTGGAAGTATTTCGAATTTGGATCAGGGGCGCCGACAGGGGGGGCTGTGCCCAGGGTCGGGGGCGGCAGAGAGGGGGGTGATGACCAGGGGGGGGGGATATCATGGCGTGGGCCAGGATATTTCCCCAGATTTCATGGCGCGTCTTCTTATTTCATTGCGTCCCTGGCCCCCCCGCTGGGCCGCGCACGTGCCGCCGGTCATGATTTGCACCCCCCCTCTTGGACACCCCCCTCTTGGCCGCTCCGATAGGGGGGGGAAGCATCAACCCCCGACCGCCAATCGCGACGGAAAGGTTGTGGCCATGCTCTGCCTCCGGGCTCCTCTGCCAGGCCCCTGGGCCGTCCAAGGACGACTCGGGACGAGAAGCCGATCACTGGGAGTCGGTGCGATCGAAATGGGTACGGAAAGGATGGGTACGAAGGTACGAAGACCGATAGCAGTTCTGGCTCGTTTTGAACAGGGTTCGCTGCTGTCGTCGCCGCGGACGCTGTCCATTTGAGACAGACGGCCGCCTGCCCAACAGCGGCCGCTGTCCGTTCTGGACAGCATTTGTTGTTTGGCTCCGTACCCACTTTTTCTGTTTTCATTCCTCGGGCGTCCATGAAGGGAAGGGGTTCAGACCTCTGGAGAGCCATGCTGTGAACAAAATCACGGCGTCGGATGTCTGGGCCAGGGGGGGGGAGATGTCTCGGGCAGGACGAAAGGGGGGGATTGGGAAAGGGGGGGGTACGAAATTTGCTGCATGCAGCTGGTTTCGGCCTCACCGAGGGGCCCATTCCTCGATACACAGCCCCCCCCGGCGCCGGGAGGCGCCGGGAAAGTCAGCGACGTGAGCCGATTCTCAAACCCCCCCTTTGCTATCCCCCCCTTTCGCCCGACCCGAATGTCGACCCCAACTCTCAGGAGGGCAAAACACACACAGACACAACTCATCGTCGATTCCCAGGAAAATGTGGGAAAATATGGGAAGTGGGTTGTAAGACAAAAAGCCCAGAAGATATGGAGAATATATGTTATTTCTGTGTATTTCTTTGCGTGTCCTGGGGCCCCTTCAAATTCGCCCACTCGTCGCCACGCGGGCCCGCGCGGTGCCCCACGCCGCCCGGGAGCCCCCGCGCGGCCTCGCCACCCGGGGCCTGTCGCCGGGCGTCGGCCCGGGCCTCTGCCGAGAGGTGCGTTTTTCCGCTTCTCGCGGCCCCAGAGGTCCTGACCCCCTCTCCTATGGAGGTCGTGTATAGTTCGGGGGCGGACAGACCTCCTTCTCCTCCTCCTCCTCCTCCTCCTCCTCCTCCTCCTCCTCCGAAACCTCTCGGGGGCTGCTGGAGCGGCCTCGGCCCGAGCCCACTGGTGGGCGGAGATTGGGGACCGTTTAGAAGGCGTAGCGGTGCATCAGATCCCGTCTCACTCGTCAATGTTGGATGTCAGGGACGGCCGTATCACGGAGATGCAGCGTTTCGGGAACTCGGAGGCGGACAGACTCGCCAAGGAAGGAGCTGAACCATTCCGAGTTGCGCGCGAGGACCGCCTGTTTGTGTCAGGATATGCTGAGTTCGTCCGACGAGTTGGGCTGTACAGTGCCAGGCAGCAGGTAGAATGCAGAGACTTAGCCCTGAACGACCATCAAGGGCTGGAATGGCTCAGCTACGTCCTCCTGGACGCGGTCCCTGGCCTCCCCCTTCCTGGTTCGGACCCTGGGGAGGGTGAGCCAAGTGCGGAGTGCGAGGTGCCTCTGGGTGCGCCAGGTGCGGGGGAGGTCCCTGGCGTCACCCCTGGTGCGAACTCTGGTGAGCCGCCTCCTGAGAACCCCCCGACCCCAGGAGCTTGGCTCCAGCTGGGACACTCCCTTGAACAGGGCGTGGTTTATGAGTCGGATGGCTGCACGTATCACGATACTATGCTGTGCTGCACGGCGTGTGGTGCTATGGCACATTCCAGCACGAAACGGGGGAATCTTCGGTTGAGGTGTCGTCCTGTCGCGTCGTGGGGACGGGGGTTCTACCTTGACCGATTTCGTGCTGGACGGTATCCTGCCCATCGGAATCCTCGAGGGCTCACGATGGCGTACACGGGGGCCCCCTCTCCTGAGGTTCGCTCGGAGTGGAGGCCCTACTTCGAGGCCTGGTCCCTGGGCCGCGACCGCCCGCCGAGAGTTGCTCGGGGGGCCCAGCCCTCGCGCGGCGGGGGTCCCGCCGCAGACCGTGTGCGAGGACTCGCACTGCTCGGCCTGTCGAGGGCGGAAGTCGTGGAGCTAGGGGCCGAGGTCGAGGCCAGGCGCTGCAGAGGTGAACTCCCCGTGGAGGAGGAGGACCTCTTCGGCTGCCTTGGCCCCTCCTAACTCGTTTGTTTTTGTTGCATGTGAATTGGGTCACTCCCTTCGTGGTCGTGGGCGTCCTCCTCCTCCTCCTCCTCCTCCTCCTCCTCCTCCTCCTCCTCCTCTGGAATCCATCCTGGGCCCCCACGCCGCCCAGAGGGACTCTCAGAGGTGGACAGACCTCCTACCTCGACACGTCGATTAAGGAATTGGCCGTTTTCGGTTCGCGAGAGGACGTCGCGGCCGTCCATCTTTGCGGGTCCAGGTCCGTCGGTTTCGGTCCCAGGCCGTTTTCACGAAGGGGAGGTTTGCGAAAGGGAGGTTTGTCCACCGCCGAATAGTCCCGGGCCCTGTGTTGGTTGCCTCGGGACCCGAACGCGGCTTCCGATGGCCGAGATCGAGGAGCAGCCCGCAAGGGCTCTCAGGAGCTCCTGCCGTCGGCAGCGCACCTCCGATTCCAGGCCAAGGCTTCCCCCCCCTGGAGCTTGGCATCGCTCGGACGTGTGCTTTTTTCCTTCGGCGAGGACCATCGAGGAGCATCCTCGATGACTTGGCGAAAAAACCACGCACGAAACCGAAAAAGGCACAGGGAATGGACGTCCGAGCGATGGCCAGATGCTTCCCCCCCCCGCCCTGGAGCCGGGCCCCCCCCGTTGCCGGTCCCCCTCCCCGGAGCGCCCTCGCAGGGGCGCCGCGCCCGTCGCTGCCCGCATCTGCTTACGTTGTCGCCGGTGCGGTGGAAGAAGCGGGGCGCCGAGAGGCGCCGAGGCAGCCCTTCACCGCTCACCAAACCACCCCAACCCAACGCGAAGGCTTCAATTTGCCCTCCATTTCCAGTTGGGGGGGGGTCGGGGAACACTGAACAAAACACACGGACCCCCCCCCAACTCGAAATTGGGGTCAAATTCGGGTCTTCGGGTTGGGTTGGGGTGGTCTGGTAGGTAGTCAGCCCTGAGAGCGTCGATCGGGGATGGACAGACCCCCCTTTAGCGAAACGCGGTTTAGTGAAAACGACCTGAGGCCCAAACCTGGCGGGCGCAAGCCTGAAGAATAACGGCCACGGCGCCCTCTCGAGAAGCGAAAACGGACAGTTCACTAATCGACGTGTCACTGTTGGGGGTTCTGTCCACCCCCGAGTCGAGGATCGCAGGTTTCCAGGCCTCCCAGGCGGAGTTCGAGTAGGCGGGGGTCGGAGGATCGAGCCGCATGGCCGATGCATCGGCAAAGCGGTTCGATGTGGAGCCCGACTGTCACCGCGCCGTCGGCGCCGATGCGTCGCCGATGCATTGGCGATGCATCGCCGATGCATTGGCGATGCATCGGCGATGCGGCGCGATCCTCCGACGCCATCTGGTCGGACCCCAGGGGGGGCGCCTCCAAGGTGTGAGGTTTGAACTGTGATCCGACGAAGGCATCTATACACCACCACCGTGCCAGGCCAGGGTTATCCTGGGCCCCA